TTACGGTGTGGGAGCCAGAGACCTGCCCACCGTGGCCCTTTGGAGAATCTCTGCTGAATTAGTCACCGCTTGGCCTTTTCTGGTGTCGGGTCTGGCACTCAAAAGACGTGATTAATTTAGACTTTGGGAGCGGGAGCAGAGCGGACCTACCGCTGTTCCAGGCTCATTAAAAGGCAGGCGAGCAGAAGTTCGTGTCACATTCCTGAGATGATTATCTGCTTTTGGTCTTTTGAACATCCTTGCAGCGACTTAACTCCAAAGCAGCTGGTAATCGCCAGAGGCTCCAGGTGCTTACTGAGCCCTGTGGACAGGACACAGCCGTTTCCTTCCTCCTGTCCCTTGGGAAGTGATGCTGCACCTGATGGGGAGCTCGGCTGCGCTTTGAAGAAGCTGCAAATATCCCCTGAGCCATAAGGGAGCCAGGATCTCTGTTCCCAGATGGGCCACTGGCCCAGATGTGGTGTCATCTCACCTTCTGAGCTGTCCTAGATTTTCTTAGGGAGCTCCACTCTTCCAAAGGCAGACTCCAAACTTGATTTCTTGCCTCCATCACCTGGGAGGGCGACAGGGAGATGTTGAGTGGGAGCATGTCACGGAGCTCTGGGTGAGTTGGGACCTGAGCTGTTGGTCTTAGCCTTCCTGCTCCTTGCTCCCAGGGCTCCTGGGCCCCTCCCATGGAGGAGAAGCAGGCTTCTGCACAGTAATCCAATCCATCTGTGTTTCTGCCCCACAACCTGAGGAAGCACCTCCTGACAGGGTCAGGCGTTCTAAAAATGCTGCTGTCTCTTTTCTGTATTAATTGAAATAATTTGAACCTCCCACCTATTGCTTGTGGTGGGAGCACAGATGTGGATTTGCCAGTGGGCAGGTCACTGTGTGGGTACTGAAGTACTGGGCTTCTCCATCCTCTCCATGTGGATACAGTGATTCCTTTGCATGCTTGGAAATAATTGTGCTCAATGAAGGCACATGTTTAGGTCAGGAATTAGATCAGGAACTTCTGTGGCATTATCATACGTGAGTAGTTGCTGAGGAGCATAATAAAGCTAATGTTACACACCAATTATAACCTGGGTTTCCTAATGCATCGTCCCTGCTTTGTGGAGCTGAACATTTCTTTAAACAGCTTTTGCTTAGTCACGTCAAAGATCACTTAATCTCACTCTGAGTATTGACAGCCCAGTTTAATTAAACAGTAACTGTTTTCCACTCGAGGAACCCTGTTAATTCCTGGTTTAGTTTATCCTGTGAGCGAAGCCAGGGAGCTGTTTTACAGCCCCTAACGTGTGTTTCAGTGGAATTTTCATGGTCGGGGTGGCCTTTTGCAGTCCCAGCTTATGTAACACATCAGGCAGCCGAGCGGAGCCGTGGACGCTCCGGGATCGCCTTCCCATGTGTGGGATTCTGAACGTGGAATTCTGGTTACACTTCCCCTCTGCTCTGCTCTGAGGGAGGAAACAAAATTTCCTGGCAGTGTATGCCATGTGTGATTTTTGTTCTGTGGTGTTTAAACCCCCCCCCCCACGGGGAGGGGGTTGGGGTGGATTTGGGGAGTGGGAAAGGGGGGGAACAAGGGGGATCAGCTGGAAGGTGCCGGGAGATGGCGGCAGATCACCGCGGGAATAGCTGGGAATGCTCCTGCCTTCCCAGCCCTGAGCTGCTGGGGGCTGGTGGTGGTGGGTGAGAGGCTGGATGTGCTCCGGCCACGTGTGCTGGGACCCCAAAACCCTCATCTTGGGCTGATCCCACAGGGTGGGCAGCAAGTGAGGGGGGGATCCTGCCCCTCTGCCCCCTCAGGTGAGATCCCACCTGCAGAGCTGCCTCCAGCCCTGGGAACCCCTTTAGAGCTGTTGGAGTGAGTCCAGAGATGCCATGGAGATGCTCCCAGGGCTGGAGCCCCTCTGCTCTGGAGCCAGGCTGGGAGAGCCGGGGGTGCTCACCTGGAGAAGAGAAGGCTCCAGGGAGAGCTGAGAGCCCCTTCCAGGGCCTAAAGGGGCTCCAGGAAAGCTGAAGAGGGACTTGGGACAAGGGATGGAGGGACAGGACAAGGGGGAATGGCTTCATGTGGACAGGGTTAGATGGGGTATTGGGAAGGAATTCTTCCCTG